ATCATCATCATCATCATCATCATCATCATCATCATCATCATCATCATCATCATTATCATCATCATCATCGTCAATGTAGACCGCTGGAAAACAAAAAGGCAGATAACTGGTGTAGACTGTAGAATTTCCAAATTTATATAATAATACGTTTAACGTTTCGCCAAAGAGGACTTCGTCAGGAACTGGAAAAGTAACACCAGCATCATCATCATCATCATCATCATCATCATCATCATCATCATCATCATCATCATCATCATCATCATCATCATCACCATCATCACCATCATCATCATCAAGTGTCAGGTAAGAAATTAAGTACATCGGCGAATACGGTTTGGTATTCATTTTCTTGCTTGAATGCTTTAAAAACCGATGATATTATCCTGATCTTCTTTCGTCACCCATGCGTGAAGTTGCTATGTATCTACACCTGCCTCTTTCTATTTTTAAAGTAAGAGCAAGATGTTCAAGGCCTTTTTGTCGATCTAAGTGTCCCAGAAATGACGTAATTTGTTTCTTCGTAATTTAAAAAAGTGAGCGGACCACGTGGGTTTCTTTCAGTACTACTTCGTTTGGTTACTTTTCCTTCAATAACATTTTCAGCAGTCTCCCCAGAAACCACGTTTCTGTTGCTTCTATTTTAATATTTTTTCTTGGTTACTTTATGTCCTATATCCATACATTTGGAAGCGGCACGGTCTATAATCGTAACTTAGCGGACCCTATTGAAGGCTCTAGGAACAGTCTCTACTACAGCAACCAAAAATATAGTAATATGTATTTATAATCGATCATGACCACTGGGAATTCGTGTTTTGGGGGAACTAGAAGATCACAGCACGTCAAGTGAATACGAACTTGATACAAGTGCAAAGCGCAATCGTACAATCGGGGAAAAAATATGTGCCAACTGAAGACAGCACTCTCCCGCTAGACGTCTAGATATAGAGGGCCTGCAGGATGATAGATTTACTCCGTAACGTCGTCTAACCAGAACTTTAAATTAAGTGGCTACACTCTAACATAATATTTTCAAGCTGGCTCTGATGGGGACCAACACAAAATTACTACCGTTATCCCAAGCAGAATGCATTTGTTGTGTGGCCCAAAAAGAGAGCAACGTTTCCCGTTTTTTTCTACCTGGCAGGTTGTAGGTGACCATGGCGTCTTCTTCGTCACAGGCTGGACGCTGGTCACCCTGAACCTGTTCCTGCTCCACAAACACTCCTGGCTACACTGGCCCTGCGAACAGACGTGTCGGAGCCGAGTGGCCCCATGGCTGCGGGGTACGGCCCTGATAATGTGGCCGTGGCTGGTGGGGCTCTTAATTCTGGTGCCGCTTCTTACCATGAACGTCGTCACTTTTGATCTGAATCAGGATGAGGTGGGTGTGTCGTAATGGGGACTCACTGGTGTCCCTTGAGAACGTGGCGTTTGATTGCTATTAGACTTACTGTTGTTTTTTTCCCCTTCACAGTTACATTTATTAAGACAACAAGCAGATATTGTTTGGGGCTACACGTATTCACGTATGTTGTTGTGCTTGTATGGTCGAAGGCTGTCCTTAATAGTAAAAGATGGGGAGGGAGAGAAAGAGATAATAGGAGAGGGAGACGATAAGAAAGAGAGAAAGAGAGAGCGATAGATAGAGAGAGAGGGAGAGAGAGGGATAGAGAGAGAGAGAGAGAGAGAGAGAGAGAGAGAGAGAGAGAGAGAGAGAGAGAGAGAGAGAGAGAGAGAGAGGGGGGGGGGGCACTGCAATTTCTACCAGGATAGACTGTAAAGCATAAAGTTCGTTTATTTTCTGCATTTTGTCGAGTTAATATAGTTGAAATAAAACAATATATCAACTGAACTTAAGGATCACCCCCTTCAGCTACTCCCGTTTATTGCCTCTTTTGAGACGTATTCCACAGAACTCCCTCTGAAATGTTCTCGTCTTCTCCTCCTCAGAGTCCCTTGTGCATGCTCAGCTTGCCAGAGAACATTCTGGTCATCGTGGGCTTCCTGTCTCTCTACCTGCCTTTCTACCTTGTGGTGGCCTCAACAATTACTCTGATGGCTTGCTCCAAAAGAAATCGTAACCCTCCCCCAGAGCCAGGAAGCAACACACTGATTGATGGTTCTCAGGACGCCACATCTACTGCGGCTGCTGGGTCAGACGCCGCCACACCAGAAGAGGAAACCCCGGAGGTTCAGAGAGAGGAAGTGACGTCACGTGACAACGTCATGCATATTCTCCTCCCCAACTATGTGTACCTTGTGTGTTACCTTCCGTTCGTCACACATACATGGTTGTATATGCGTGGAGTACACACTCCCCGCTTTGTGTATCTCTTCATCCTGTCTGGTCTGCTAGCACGGTCGTATCTGTTGCCCTTGTCTTGGTTGATCTTCAGGAGTGTGAGGGAGGATGTCGTGGAGGGATGGGCAAAGGTGAAGGACATCTTTTGCTCCTGCGTGCGACACTCGTCAACGTCAGCATCTTCCTCTGTGTCGTTCAGCCGACTTCGGGAGTCCCAGTCTACAGACACTGTTTGAGGGTGATGATTCTCTTCTCTTATCGCGTTATAGTTGATGCAGATCTATTGGGGCTCACCTGGAGGCCCATTTCGTCATGAAACTGAGTATAAAAGTACGATACCAAAGTATCTCTTCAGCCTTTGAAGTTTATGAAGAAATTGAGCCTTATAGTTCTGAAGTCACGGTTTTAAGGGGTATGGATAACAGCAAGAATATTAAAACCAGCACCACTGACTGCAAAATCCCCTTAAGATTTTATATTGGAGAATCATACCTACGGCTTTAAAACACATGTTTAATGCTTAAGGGAAGAAAGTTTTCTCAACACTCTGCACCAGGTCCAGAAACGCTAACAGATCACGATCTTTAGAGTGACGAAAGGAAACTGCTGATGATATGGCCACGAGTGTATATTAAAGATGTCCAACAAAAAGGAATGTCCTTCTGGAACAGTTTCGGGAGCTGTGGACGTCTTCAAACTCCAAAAGAAAATTTCATGATCTTGCCAAAAGGTGATATTCAACACGAGTAAGCTACTGATGCTGACAATATTCTTCACTGAAAAGAGGTATAAAGCTGATTATTGTGTTGGAGGAGGAAAAAAGATCTTTCGTTCACAATTTCAGCCTTGATGGATAACCCTGGGCAGGTCATTAACCTTGTGAACCGGAATACTGACAACACCGAATTCCATGTACAATAAAAAAAAACTGTAAAAGGAATTCAATTTATTTTCACTTACCGACACAATGGATGCCCTTTCTGTTTGAGGAAGGTTGTAGCTTATTGCATTATATATATTCATATTTTATTGTGCAGTATAGCTTTTCAAGAAAAATAACAAAACCTGAAAGGTAGCTGAGTAACACTGAGTTCAAATTGCCCTTTTAGAATGAATTCACGATGTATCATATGATATAACCAACCCTTTCTCACCCTAAACACCATCCTTATTAGAGGTAATTTTAATAGTTCTTACTATCCTTTCTGAAAGTGAATGTAGGGTAGTCTCTGTTGGCGTTATGTGTACGGTGGGAATGGGTTGTGTGTGCGCTGGTCAGAACCTGAAAAATAACGCAATTGCTGTGTTCTGCCAACTATTGGGCTTTCAGCAAACTTAGTCGGTAACATGCTGGGCTCCATATTTATGATCCTGGTTCAAATTCCATGCAGTTGTTTTGTTTTTGTTGTTGTTGTTTAAGAAAAAATTAAAAACAAACACTTAACACCGTCCTATCGGTGATAATCGTTTAATTGGAACTTCAAACCTCTTAAATGATATAACAGCATTAATAGGATCATCAAACATACACAGCCAACAACCTTCTTTAATTTACACCTGTCATCCTTTATTTCATTCTTTTGGCCTTACCCAATAGGCATGAGAATTTGTAGAAATTCAAAGTCTTTTTAGAACTTTCTCTTAACTCCTTATCTCCGGCACGCTGATTCCAGTGGCTCGCGGGCTGAACCGTTGTGCCGGTGAGCCGCTTGTTGTGGCTTGGCCACATTAAGTAATATTATGACGACATTGATGTTATGTTAATTTTTCAGCAGTTGCCGAAAACAGGACTGTTTTACTAAGAGTACCTTCATTATATGAAGCACTATCAAAATAGTTTTATTTTATTTTTGTTAAATGACCAATTTAGTCATGTATAATATAATATATAATATATGTCACTTTTAGGTTTAGTACCAATAGAAGGCATAGTGGAAAAAAACCCATCGGGAGATAAAGAGTTAATGTATAATATGTATGAAGTACAATGAGCCTGAGATAGACAAAATCCGAATTTTATTCGCCTGATGTTTGGATCAGTGTGGATATTTTAAGTTAAACGACATGTTTTTAATATTGATGCAACTTAAAGGAAGCTTCTGTATTGTATCAGCATTAACATGAAGATCGCATGATGTACATAGAAGAACACGTCCTTTTAAACATTGTGTCAATTTTGTTACCTAAGATCTTGTGTATGTGACCTTCAGTCTACCAGTTTCCGTTTTTGAAGAGAGCGGGACGACTGTATTATAACGGATATTCTTATTATGCCATGCTTTATTATATCTATCTGATTGACTATGTTTTGTCTTCCAATGTTTTCTATTCGAATTAAACGTGCAAAAACTTACTTGTTCTTGTCTTTTTTTAAATTGAAGCTTTTATTTTTCTGTACTGTACAAAAACTGCAGACATCTGTGTTGTTGTTTTCATACAGATGCGAAAGCCATCGTCAGACGTGTGGAGGACCCTCTTTTTATCTTTTTCTCCCTCTCTCCCCCTTCCCCCCCTCTCTCTCTCTCTCTCTCTCTCTCCCCCCCTCTCTCTCTCTCTCTCTCTCTCTCTCTCTCTCTCTCTCTCTCTCTCTGTATGACTTTAAAGCTAAATATCACCCTCTTTCTTCCCACCCCTCACAGGTCCCACGATGGGTTCGTCACTCAGGACGACGGGTTCCTTGAAGCCACACCCGGCTCACAATACGCCAGCCAGAAGAAAGTCTTTGCCGACCTCGGCCAGGGCGTCCTTGACAACGCTTTCGAAGGTAAGCCACGCCCATGGACACGCCCACAAATACAAAAACTGCTACACCCACGGACACACCCACAATTACAACTGTTCCACGCCCATGGACACGCTTACAAACACAATAAATGTGTCACGTCCATCTTATGTCTCTGTGAGACGTGTTTCCTGTTCACTGTGTATATTTTGCTGAGTTGTTCATGGCAACCGGTCTCTTGTTTTGCTTCTCTGTGTCAGGACAGTTACTGCTATTTACATAGCAAACTACTCTGTCCAAAGCTGTCGCTTTGTTGAACTTTTGTACTCTGTAGTATGTGATATTGGCCTACGATACCGTGAAATTTGAATTGAACCAGCGTTACGCCCAAGTTATATTTTTGGACACCACAGCAAGTAAATATTGGAAAACTCGAGAGGCTTTCCCACTCCTCTTGACGTCTTTTCGGTTTATCCATTCTCTTTAAAAAACCGGCGTCTGCGATGTAGCAGTTAGGCGCTTCGCTGTCGCACGTAGGAGACCCCAGCTCGATTCCAGAGTGGGGAGAATTTTTTTGATCGAGTGCTACGGTGTTTCTGCTTGATGCTGTATCGTGATCAACCTGGGTTGGCCCTGACAGGGATTGTCAGAAGCCAGAAGTCGGCCTCCTAAAATTATTAATGATCTAGATTGTGTCGATGGAGGTGTAAAATCACGTACATTTTAAAAGACCCATTTTAAGGGACATTGAACGCAGGTTCAGAAAAGCTTCATACGCATCTGTATAAACAACACTCTCGAAAATATACACCGACACACTCTCACGAGCACACGCACACACACACACACACACACACACACACACACACACACACACACACAATAATATGCACGCACGCATTGGCCTATATCAATCGCAGACGACATTGCCATTGATGGTGTGTCCATTTTTGGGAAAAGATCCTCAAAGCGAGCCACAAACAATGCCAGCTGACATCAATCAATTGTCTTCTTACTTTTTTGTCTTTAGTTCTCTTATCCCTCGTGTTTGTCCCCTTTTCCCAACCAATCTTTTGGAAGTTACCCCCTCGGCT